CCTACCTACCTACCTACCTACCTACCTACCTACCTGTTAGGCACCTTTCTCCTAATGGGGGATTTGAGGCAGCTCACAGTTAAAAATAAATAAATTAAAACACCATAAATTATACATTAAAAACTTTAATCGTAATTAATATACATTGAATGGTTAAAACATTTTAAACTTTTAGCTAAAACCCAGCATTTAGGAAATTTCAACAAGACCTTTACCTGGGGAAAAATATATTTACTGTACAATGTTGTTTCGTTGCTGGACTTCACTTGGAAAGTAGTATATTCCACTTTAGGCTGCACATCTTTGCCAGCCATACTACATGCAGGGAAAGGTAGGAAATGTTAAGAATGAAATCAAAATGTGAGGAAAAGAGGAAGTTAAACTGTATATGTATCTGTGTTCACACGTACATAGACAAGCACAAAAATCTCAGCCAAGGGTTTGATGCTGAGAGGAAGTTAAACTGTATATGTATCTGTGGTCACACGTACATAGACAAGCACACAAATCTCAGCCAAGGGATGCTATTCCAATCAGCACACTTAAATAGGGCCTGTCTAGACAGGTATGTAAATTGGTATTTGGATTGCTGTTGCAAATGGTATGATTTGAACGAAATTTCAGCATCCACCCATTCCTACTTAGACTGACCAATCCTACCCCTTTAGGAGCTGTCCTGCTCCTTTCTGGCACAGGGCTAGGGGATTATGGTTTTTTTGGCGTGATTCAGCACACTTTTAATTATTCCATTGTGTAACCTGTGCAGATGACTAGTTTGCATCAAAATGGAACTATGGGCTGTGTTAATCAGAGGTGACAACTTTGTGACATATTAGTTAGGTTGTGACATTAAAAGGGAAGATGGAGAAACCGCCTCTTCTATTTTCATCTTGTTTTTAAACACATTTCCCTAACTGATGCAGCACAATGCTAATACTCGGTTAGGTTGATACATTGTTCTTTCAATATGCCACTTCTTTTATTTATCGAACACACACACACACAAAAACCAGGGGGAAGGTCACTGCAGCCTGCTGAGTGATGGTCATCAGAAAAGGCAGTGAAGGGGACTATGTCAGCTTCATGGGTTCTGCCCTCACAAGGCAGCGCAGCCCCAGCAGAGCCCTGGCTGAGGAAAAAGGCAGGAAAAAGAGGGAGCTACTTACCCTCTGTATCCCAATCCTTCACCTCAGTATTTTCCTCTTGTGCCAGTACTGCCACCACTTCCTTACTTGTGTGAAAGCCAGGTAAACTTCACTTGTGAGTAAACCAACAATCCAAAGACCTGTGTGGACCCCTGTCACAGAAGAATAAACACCTGTCTGAACAGAAGGATCACTCAAGTGAGATATAAAATAGATCACACTGAAGATAACCTTTTAAGCATGAACCAGACTGCTCCCAATTCCTCTGTCTGGACAGTCCCACAGATGAATTTGTTCCAGCCATTTTTAGCAAATGTTGTCTCAGAAGATAAGGCATATACACTCACTATCATCGTATAATAGCTGCCAGAAGGGCAAGCTGTGATTTCAGTAGTCCCCTCAGATGTTTCCACTCAGCTTTGAATTCAGATAACAGCCAAACTGAGTCATGATTGTTGAATCTTGTTGAACAAAGACAAGATCAAGAAGAAGGAAGTAAAAGAAAGGGAATAGTTAATGTGATTTATAAAATTTTATTACATTCAGGATTCAATCAAGCAACAATGAAAAAGCAGTGGCAGGAGGACTTTGAGGAAGAGATTAAAGGAGAAGAATAGAATAAGATAGTCACAAAGAATAATGAAGTATATGTCTAAAAAAGTTAAAGAAAATTGTTATAAGGTAGCATGGAGATGGTATTTAACTCCAATAAGATGGAATATAATAAAAATATACCATCTCAGTGCTGGAGATGTAAAAAGAAAAAAGGGACCTATATGCATATGTAGTGGATGTGTGAAATAAAGAATGAATGGGCACTGGTTTTTAAAGAAGTTAGAAAAATTATTGGATGTGGTACTCAGATATCGCTAACTATTGTTCTCCTGAACATAATTAAGAATGATCATTTGAAAAAAGATCAGAAAGAGTTAGTTGTTATAATGGTTACGGTAGCAAGATAAATATTTGCAAAGAATTGGAAAAGCGACAAATTAATCTTGAAAATTGGTATAAAGAAATGTGGAGTTTAGCAATTAATGATAAGATGTAGAATGAAAATAAGAAGAGGAATAGTAAAGTCTAACAATTTCAAAGATGTATGGCATTTACATTGTCTTTTCGAAGTGGAAATGCTATATGCCAGCAGAAGAATCAATGTATTTTTGGAAAGGAATGAGGTGAAAAGTGATAAAAATTGATACTACTTGTTACCTAGTCCCAAGGGTAAGGGTGGCACGGGTGGGAAATATTTAATGTGTATTAAATGTGTATATTTAATTTAAATAGGACTTCCCTCCAGTCACTACTTAAATTTCCTCTTCCCATCTCGAATTATTGATTTCATTGTATAATGTAAAACTGTCATGATATATTACCTGTTTTTATCTTATCTGTTGTGAGCCGCCCAGAGTAGACTATGACTAGATGGGTGGCATATAAGTGCAATAAATAAATAATGTGTGCAGTCACTACTGAGGTTTGGGTTTTTTTAGTTTAGTTTTGTTATTTGTAACTTTCATTTTTATTAATTTAAAAAAATAGACTGATAATTCCATTAATATGTGCCATGTAGTACTTTCAGGGTTATGATTAGGATTGTTAACTTAGTATAAATCTGTTAGCCCAGCAGAGATAGATGTTTAAGACACACACACTAGTTAAAGTATGGTTTCTTAAAAATTGTTCTGTACACGTATTTGGCAGATAAGTAAACAAAGTGTTTTGGACTTTGGACTTGCAGTTTAGTTTTTACTAGCTTGTACCCTATTTGTGATTGTGTCACTCATATGACCGAATTCCACTCTGTACGTAAAGCATATAATCCATGTGAAAAATTAACAAGTGGAGAGGAAAGGCTGGCTAGAATTCTTACCTGCTGGAAAGATTATATATTGATAAGCTTTCAGATGTGTTAGGACCCAGCTTTACTATGAAGTAGCGTAGCCAAGTTACAGTGCTGTCATCTCTGTACCTGTAGAAATGTTTTTAGAAATGTTTTGTTTCTTTGCTGAACTTCAGCCTCTTACTTTGGTTTTAGGTTCTTGCCTCGCTGATTATCCGTCTTGCTCTAGCAGAATCTTTTTGCCTTAACTGTGGTATTCTTGCACTGGATGAGCCAACCACCAACCTTGACAGAGAGAACATTGAATCCCTTGCCCATGCCCTAGTGGAGTAAGTATCTACATATTTCCCTGAAAAGCAGTAGGAATGATTCTTATGTAGTCCCCAAATATCAACTGGTCATACAATGTCACAGGGCACTAGTCGGGCTCTCTTGTGAGGAAGCCTCTTTTAATACAGTCGTGCCCCGCTTAACAATTACCTCGCATTACGATGAATCCGTTTCACGACAATGTTTTAAATGGGGTTTTTCCGCTTTGCGAAGATCGGTTCCCTGCTTCGGGAACCGATTCTTCGCATTACGACGATCAAAACAGCTGATCGTTGGGTTTTCAAAATGGCCGCCAGATGCTCAAAATGGCTTCCCGCTGTGCTTAGAGACGGATTCCTCGCTATACAGGCACCGAAAATGGCCACCATATGGAGGATCTTTGCTGGACGGTGAGTTTTTAGCCCTTTGGAACGCATTGACCGGGTTTGAATGCATTTCAATAGGCTTTTTTATTTTTGCTTTACGACGTTTTCGCTCTACAGCGATTTCACTGGAACAAATTAACGTTGTTAAGCGAGGCACTACTGTATGCCATACCTACTTTCTTTTCACATGAAATATGAACAGGAATTGAAGTTTTACCTGAGTTTTCTCTTTACTTTGCACTATATTAAGTGATATCCCAAGTAATTACAGGGATGTAGAAATCAAACTTTATCATGGACTGACAAATGACGTCTGCAACAACGTGGTAGTCCGCTCCTTGCTCCCTCCCCCAGTTTGTGATAAAACATACAAATGTACACTGAGGAGACATGTTACTTCAATTACTGATGCCCTTAGTGATGCATTGATCTAGAATGTGTCATGTTAGTTGTGTAAATTCTAGAAGTAAAAGAAGAAACAAATTATTTTACTCTGGTAGACTTAATTTTTATTATTGTGCTCATTCATTTTTATTTCCTTTTCTCCCTTTTCTTGTCTGCCATAAAAGTATGTTTTTCCATTATACCAAAATAGCCGGCTCAAGGTTGACTCAGCCTTCCATCCTTCCGAGGTCGGTAAAATGAGTACCCAGCTTGCTGGGGGGGCAATGTGTAGCCTGTATAATTAAAAATTGTAAACCGCCCGGAGAGTGCTTGTAGCGCTATGGGGCGGTATATAAGTTAAATAAATAAATAAATAAATAAATAAATAAATAAATAAATAAAATTAAGAAATTATGGTTTAGTCTCTGACCAGAGCAGAACTAGAATTTGATTATGATTTGCAGCCTACAACTAAACCACAGCGTTCCAATGCAGCTATAATGCAGGTCTGTGCTTTAGCAAATCCTGCAGACTTTACATGATAGCAAATACGAAGAAGCAGCACATGGGTTACAGCTTTCATTCTCAAGAACACAACAGCTCTGCAGGCTGAGATGTTGTTGTTGTTTGTTGTTGTTATGTCATAGTTTACCAAACTGAGAGTGTCTAATAAACACCTAGGTCCTAGGATAAGAGTGAGATATAAAGGAAAGAATGGCCTCCTTCAAGCATAACTCTCATTCTAAATGCTGTTTTTTCACAGGATAATCAAAAGTAGATCCCAACAACGTAACTTTCAACTGCTTGTAATAACACATGATGAAGATTTCGTGGAACTTTTGAGTCGATCTGAGTATGTGGAGAAATTCTACAGAATTAAGAAAAATCTTGACCAGTGTTCTGAGATTGTGAAATGCAGTGTAACATCTTTGGGATCATATGTCCATTAGCGTCCATACATGATTATTTGTTAATGGGAGTGCTCAGAAACATCCAGGGATGAAAATATAGATGGTTTGCATATAGAAGCTATTTTCTTTGGGTGAGAAAGATCTTTTGTTGAACGTGTAGATCTTTTTGACTAACACTAAACGATTGCTTCAATAAAATGGAAAAAAGAGACTGACAAAAACTATGCAGACAGAAATGTGCAAGCTTACACATTATTTTATGCATGTGTATTTATTTATTTGATGTATATACTGCCCCATTAGTGCATGTGCACTATTCTCAGTTTATACAAATAATGACCAATTTAAAAAAATTAAACTATTAACAACTTAAAACAAAATGGCACCCAAGGCAATTTTCCCCATAATGGCAGGACCAGAGACACACAGTCAATTAGGGTTGGTGTGGAAAGCCTCCCTGAAAAACCATGTTTTGAGTTGTCTCCTGAACGACAACAGGGAAGGAGCCAGGTGTAGCTCCACTGGAAGCTGGTTCCACCAGGTCCGTGCCACCATGGAGAAGGCCCTGCCTTTTGTGGATGACACATGGGCCTCGGGGTGGCAACACAGAAGAGCATAGCCTGGGAGGATCTGGTGGGTTTGGCAGATGACACTGGGGAAAGGTGCTCCAACACCTAGTCCAGGAAGTGCCTGATTTTTCACACATACCCTTTCCAGGCTCTTCCAAACTAAATGTTCTGCTCCTTTGTATTTCTTAGTTTAATTCTTGCTGAATTCCAGCAATGGAAGATCAGATAGAAATTATAAGACTGAAAAAACAAAGCTCACATTATTCCCTTACCAACAGCACAAACTATGGAATTCGTTGAGGTTTTAGGCTTCAACAAGAAAAATGGTACTAGGAGTGTGCTCTTTTGTGGGGTTTTTTGGACTACACTCTCCAGAATTCTCCCCAAGATTTCCGGGAACTGCATCCCACAAACCCAGCTAAGCACACCTGTAGATTTTGCCCTTCTAAAGAACGGCTTTGTGATTATTTTTTCTGCACCATCAGTTCCTCTGGTCTTCGATTCTGTTTAAAAAAAGAAAAGCTTCTGCCCTTTAGGTTCTATAGAGGGTGCCTCCTAAAGAACTATGACTCTAGGAAGGAAACAAACATCCTGAAGATAATATACTGAAGTACTGGAAAAAGGACTTTGGGCACACATCAACCCCAAAGGAACTCTCTACCCAGCGTAGGCTTCGTATTTCTTCAGAAGGAATTATGTTCAGGGAGGCATTCCGTCCACTTTTTGCTGGTAAATAAACACTCCCTGCTATGATTCAAATGTGTGTTTTTCGTTTGTTTTAGTCCTGCCTTTCTCCTCACCCCAATGGAGACCCAAGGTGGCATACAATTTTTTTTAAATCAACAACAATTTAAAGCAAATTAATTAAGATTATAATATGTACATGTTGAAAACATCATTTTAAAACTCTCAATTTTAAAAGACCTGCCCATCTCTATTTATTTATTTATTTAAGCAAGCAAGCAAGCAAGCAAGCAAGCTATTTCTATGCAGCCTTTCTCCCCAAAAAGACCCAGGGTGGCTTACATGACTAAAACTATTTAAAAGCTAAAACAGTAAGTATACAAATATTAATAAAGAATTAAACAAATACAGTATTAAATGGTAACAGATCAATATTAAAAACGTATTTTAAAAAAACACAACAATCCATTTAAAAACCCCTCTCAGACCATAATTATTGAAAAAAACAAAGTTTTTTTTTTTCAATAATGGCCTTACTATTGCCTCCTTCAACCAAGCTGGGATCCTACCCTGCTGCAAGGAGGCATTCACTACCCCTTTGATCCACTCGGCTTTTACTGGTCCAAGAATCCTGTCCACATAATCAAACTGAAAGTTATACGTCAACACTGGATCATGTAGGAGCCATAGTTACATCTATAGAGCCTGTATTAACTACACCATCCAAGTCAGCAGATCTGAGTGATTTTGCCTTCAAAGTGCTGTGCAATTTTTTCACAGCAAGCTACTGAGTGGTCAGCACTATCTTCCTGTGGGCCATGATGTAACAAGCCGTTGACCACTTGGAAGAGTACTGCTGGGCGAATCTGTAGAGATGCAATGGTGGTGGCAAAGAATGACTGCCACGAAATAGGCCTTCCAATAGAGAGGGTGGATTCACTCTGAGTTTTCCACCACCATCACTCTAGGCTCCATCCCATTTATTTCATCACCAGCAGCTCCCCAGTAAACGAGGGGACCAGTTTGGCTCTCCTTCGTGGGAGGGGATGCTTAGGAGTGATTGTGCCAATAACCCTGGTCTTTTCCCCATTCCAGAGGTCAACCAGGGCTTCAACAGAATTGCCTGCAAAGGCATCAGGAAGCTCTCGAAGAGCCATCAGGAAATCCATAAGCATCCTGGGGCAGACCATCTAAATCTGTCCTCCACTTTTACAGAGGTTCTGAGTTCCAGTGGTCTAAACCCCACAGATGTTGATCTGTCCATGACAACAGAATTACAGAGAGTTCCTCCAAACCCAGATCACCAACATCTACCCCAGTACAGAAAACCAGGACTAAAGTGTGTCCTGAAGCGTGAGTGGGGGCAGATACCATTTGGGACGGTCTCATGGTCATCATGGAGGACATGAAATCCTGAGCCACTCCTGACAAGGCTGCCTTGGCATGCATGGATGTTGAAGTCCCCCAGCACAAGTCAAGGAGACTCCAACACCACCTTCAAGATCCGATTAGCTAGTTCAGGAAGGGAGACTTTTGAGCAGTGCGGTAGGCGGTACACCAACAGAAACCCTATTCTGTCTCAGGCTCCAACTTTCAAATGCTCACATTCAAACCTGGAATCGGGGATGCGGCACCTGGTGAGGGGGGTCAGTATCACGACAGGCCACTGCAACTCCAGTTCCCCACCCCCAGGTCTTGCCTGCTGCTGCACAGAGAAGACTGGTAGGCAAAGCTGAGAGAGATTAACACCTCCAACCTCATCCAAACAGGTCTCTGTGATGCAAGCCAGATCAATTGCTTCCTGGCTCCCTAAAGGGGTATGTTTTCACCTGCTTGCGGAAGGCAAAGAGGAAAGGGGACACACGTCCAAAGGGAAGCGAGTTCCATAATCTGGGAGCAGTTACTAGGTCCTCACCCAGACGTTCTTGTGCGAGAGATGGGACCAGGAAAAGGCACTCCCCTGAGGATCCAAAAACACATGGGGAGGCTTATACAGAGAGATACAGCTTTTTAGATGGTCTGGTCCTAAACTGTAAATTGTGATGTGTATTGTTTATTTACCAGTAAGGAATGAACTGGAAGTTGTGAATTTGCTAATGCTAAGCAACGTGGTTTCGACCATGGTCCATACCCCACAGGCACAAGGGCTAGGGTGGATGTCATTATTGTCCCTGCCCTGACTTGGCGTTGTGTGATTTGTTACCACTTTGTTTCTAGGACACCTTTAATTTTCCTTCTCTCGGTCAGATAGTGACCAATCAGTACTGTCTGTTATCGTGCCGTGATTGCTCCCTTTCTCCCAGATGAATTTCTTATCCTGCTGCAGCTGATCATTCATCATTAGAAAGCACGATTTCTCTTTGAGCCTAGAAGGCCCGGACTCACTTTATGTTGCTCTTCTTCTTCATTCTTGCATTTCTTTTATCTTGGCCTGCCGTAGCCTAACACTTGGTATTCTTCAGAATTTGCCCTCCTCTGTTTATGACACTACTGCATCAAGTTATGTTATCAAGGAAGCTGGCAGTTGGATGGGCACAGAAATGTGGGAGGAATGGAAGTCCAACTGTTCAGGTCAACATGTGTCAGTACGGAGGCCAAGACAACTATGGTGCCACTTATTCACGTACCCTTACCTGTCCCAAAAGCCAAAGAGCCCCCATGCCATTCGACAGCCTGCTACCCAGCATTATCAGAGAAGCCAATGAAAAGCAACACAGCAGACAAACGGGGAAAGGAGCAACTTTGCAGTAGAACTGAAAGAACAAAATGAATGTTCTGGAATTTCACATATTCACTGTTATTGAGATAGCTGTGCTGGGGGGGGGGGAACTTCCAGAGAGAGGGTTCCTAGCAGAATATATGTGTGTTGTGTAGCGGGGAATAGAATAAGCTGTGGGAAAACACAGGAGGGTTGGAAGTGGAAGTCAATTAAGTCTGGACTGCCCATAGAATTCTGTGTTCAGGTCAGGACAACTGCACACTTAAAACCTACAATGAACAATGGAAAGTGGATATTGCTGACGGTGCACTAGTATAGCTTTTAGCTTATTTTGACTTTTCACTGTATATATCCTGGCAGACATGGCAGGTCCAGTTATTTCAATACTTTTTTGATTGAACGTGTAAAATCCCTGGGGCAAATTCTTAGAAAGCTTATCCCCTGCATCTTGAGAATCAGTCCTTCCCTCACACTGTGACCTATTGCAACCATTTTGCATCATGGCATGATATAATCTCTTATCTTCCTTTTGCGTGAAGTGAAATGTCCGCCTGTTTTAAGAATTGCCACTCCTCTCTATTGGTAATGCCTAAATCTAGCCACATTTTAAAGAACAGCTTTTCTTTCCCCATATTTGCTTTTCATGATGCTCTAAGATCAACCTGTCTTTTACCTCCATGCATCGCTGCAAATACAGCTCTGCAATAATATTGTAAAAAAAAAATCCATGACTATTTATCTTTATTGCTTGAAAAAAAAATCAGATGCTACTAGTTCTGTCCTAACAGGTTCTTGCTATAATTTTAAAAACCCACACAGTTAAATTAGCACCACAATGAAACAAGCAAGCAAGCAAACAAGTTATGTAGTAGAAGTACAGTATTTAAGGATGAAAATTATGATGATTCATCTCATACTGTAAACAAGAAAATGCAATTTCTAAATGCAAATCTGCTTCTGATTTCTGTGACAGAACACATTAGTGGAACTCCCTCACAAGGGAGTCAGATTAACTCCTGGTTTATTTGTTGCTTTGTTACTTACTTGTCACCTTGAGAGTTTTTTTAAAAGCACAGGAGTGAGATTTAAATGTAATTATTTAATTAATTTAAACAACGACAGTTTTATTCCATTTTGCTTTTAATGTGAGCTCAACTTCAATGACAGAACACATTAGTGGAACTCCCTCACTAAGGGTGTTGCTTTGCTGCTTACTTGTCACCTTGAGACTTTTTTTAAAGCACAGGAGTGAGATTTAAATGCAATTATTTAATTAATTAAGACAACAACAGTTTTATTCAATTTTGCTTTTAATGTGAGCTCAACTTCACTCCTTGGTATGCTTTCAAAAAGTAATGCTATGCTTTTTAATTTTATGGAAGCTGTTTTCAGCATTCCTCTAAAGGTGTTTAAAATTAGGTGTACACATAAATATGTGGACAAGGAATCAGGCTATGAAGTTCAAATTCCCATTCATCTATGGAATCTCACTGGGGAACGGCAATAGTAAACTACTCCTTCAACATCTCCCACACTTCCAAAAACGTTACCATATGTAGGAAGCAACTTGGTGGCTCATGACAACATAATACAGAAATCAACAGCAAGATTTATTTATTTCAATCATTTATATTCTGCCCAACTTAGTGACATGGACTACTCCAGGCAGTTAATAATAATATAAAATAGCCCTCCCAACCAAACCTCAAACCCAAATAAATTTCTCCCCTATCTAAAATCAAACCAAGCCCAAATCCAAACAGAAAACATAACACACTCATGACAGTCAAGATGACACAGTGCCTTAAGTAACTGGGGCTGGAAGGAGGGAATAGCTCAGTCAAGATGACACAGTGCCTTAAGTAACGGGCTGGAAGGAGGGAATAGCTCTAGAAGCTTCCTTGATTTTTATTTTATTTTTTATGCTTTTAATGACTTCTGAAGGCTTGGGGGACTGATGGATCTCTATTGGAAGTCCATTCCAAAGAGATGGGGTCACTCTTGAGAGGCTTGGTTCCTTGTAGAAACTTTTGTCTCCCTTGGTGTGGCCTCTCATAAGAGACTGGCTGGGGCAGGGGATCGGGTAGCAGGGGCTGATGTTCTTTGGAGAAGACACTCTGACAGGTAAGGGAGCCTCAAACTGTTAACAGCTTTGTACGTTGGTACCAACACCTTGAATCTGGCTCAGAAAGGCACAGGAAGCCAGGGCTGCTGAGCCAGCACTAGGGAAAGATGATCAAACTTGGCAGCCCTAGTTAGTGATCATCCTGGCTACTGTATTCTGCACCTGTTGCAGTTTGTGAGAGTCCGTTTCAAGGGGAGCCCTATGGAGAGAGCATTGAAGTAGTAA